CGGTCTGGATACGCAGAAAGTCAGGGTGCAGGAACTTGTCGTCACACAGGGGGGAAAGAAGTCTACTCGTTATAGACTACCTCCTACATGCCCAGCATCTACACCAGGCATCTCTTTCCACCCGTAACTCTAGAAAGTAGATTTTCTTATTCCCCTTTTCCCAGATGAGGAACTGAGAGTCAGGGGTATAAGTCACTTCTTCACGGTCACACAGCTAGAGGGGTCCAAGCCAGGATTCAGACCCAGTCTGCCTAATGCCAGAGTCCACACACTTTCCCCTACCCCATGCCCTGTGAGGCACTGCAGACAAAGAACTAAGGAGAGAAGGTGATCCCGGCCTCCAGGAACTCAAGATGCATCTTTCCAGCCCTCACGGTACCCTGCAGAGGGCGTCCAGGTGGCGCCCCCCTCCCACCGACAGGAAGGTAAACTGTATTTCCGAGGAGGGAGAAGGAGCTGTTCTAGTTTCTAATAACTAAACAGCTCCTCTCTCCTGTCTCCCCAAAATGTGCCCTGCACCTGGGATTCCCCAGTCCCTTGTGGCCCTACCTACCTCCTCCACCCACGGTCTGCCACGCCGGGACTCTGCTAGTTAACGGGGACGAAATTGTCCCTACCCACCCTCAGCTTCTCCACGAGCTACCCCAAGGTGGTGACGGCGGGCCCCTGCTGAATACCTAATAAACCCAGTCACTACCGAGTCAAACTGTGCATTGTATTCTGTATAAAAGAGACTGTACTAGATCCTAGGTGCAACTTTAGAAAAAAAAAAATACCGAGTGACTCTTTCTGGAGCTGAGCACCCCTTCAACAAATCTGACGCAGCAATATCACATAAGAAAGAAAGACTCCACAGTACCAAAGGCTTTATCATTAGAGGCTTTCATCAACTTTCCTTCCCCCGCTTCTCTCCCCTCCCCGTGCCACCTTGTGACCAAGGCAAAGAGTCAAAGCCTTTCTAAGAGAGAAGAGAAACCCAGGCCTGATGTGATTGCAAGGTCTCAGAGCAAGAGGGATTTGGGTTTGACGTGAGGAAGAACTCCCCGACAGGGAAATGGCCACCCTGTGGAACGGGGTGGTGAGGAATCAAAGGGGTCACTGGATTCCCCGCCTCTGCTCGGTGCCCCTTCAGGCCCCAGCTGGGTGCACTCTGCCCAGGCATGGAAACCGCCCGTGACTCAGGGAATCTTAAGTGGCAGTTGCTAGGTTACAAGTTTCCTCAATGTGCACTCAATGTAAGGATTAAAGGATGTCACCTGGCTGAGAGGAAGAGCCATGGGGGAAGGAGTTGGGGAGATGGAGAGAAGCCAGGACTTCCAGAACAAGCAATCAGGCCACGACCTGAAAGGCATCCTATTCTCACTACTTTTCCAAGGGTCTGAGTCCCTAGATCCCTCGGTCCTCATGGAGGGCGGTGCTTGCAAAACATGAGCGTTAGGCTGGAAGGGGGCCTATTCTGGGATTGGATTCCAGTCCTTCCCCAGTTATGCTGCCCAGCACACAATATGGCAACGGGCAGAGCCGTTGCCGGAACCCTTTGGGGGCCTGGGCTCCTTCCTTCAGTGTAATTGGACAAGAAGCCAGAAGCCAGGTGACAGTTGAAAAGCTTGGTGTCCTTAGGAATACGCAATTCTTTCATTTGTGATTTAACTGTGTTAAAGTGGAAGAGGGTTAGATTCGGAATTCACAAGCTAGACCCTGGTGTCGGCCCTCGGACGGTCGTAAATCCGTTACTTCACCTCACTAAGTCTCAGCTGCCTCACCTGTAAAAAGTGGAAACCGATACCTGCCCCCGTCATCTTTCCCAGGGTTGTTTTAAGATTACGAGAAAATGGGGGTGCCTGGGTGGCGCAGTCGGTTAAGCGTCCGACTTCAGCCAGGTCACGATCTCGCGGTCCGGGAGTTCGAGCCCCGCGTCAGGCTCTGGGCTGATGGCTCAGAGCCTGGAGCCTGTTTCCGATTCTGTGTCTCCCTCTCTCTCTGCCCCTCCCCCGTTCATGCTCTGTCTCTCTCTGTCCCAAAAATAAATGAACGTTGAAAAAAAAAAATTAAAAAAAAAAAAAAGATTACGAGAAAATGGATGTGTGAGGACTTAGGTCAGTTCGAGGAGTTCTGCAAACGCAACATCATATGGAACTGTGTATAACTGCTTAGTAAGCTGCCCCAGCTGGGGTGGGTGGGGACTCCAGGAGCCTTGCCCCATTGCTTTGGTAAAAGGCTCAGTAGACAAAAGAAGCTGAAGATGGGTCCCCCACGAGACCCTTTGAGGAAGACCTATGGCTTTCAGTCTTCCTACTCACCCTGTGCTGGTCTTCTGAACACAGTTCAAGTTGGGGGTCGAGGATCTATTCCCTATTCCTCTGGGCAGATTGTGATCCTTGGGAAGAAAGAGAAACAGTTGGCGTTTCCTATAAAACTTCATTAATTCAGACCACATTCTTTTGGAATTTATGAGTTCTTACTGAATAGAGAAAACAGAACACAACCTTCCTCTGAAGGTTCTAGAGGTGCTTACTTTGTAAGCACAGAGAATTCAAACAAAAAAAGGCAGTTCAATTTCTAAGCCAAGAACACAAGATATTAAGATGAGTTGTGACTTCTGTTTCTCACAGGAAGTCATTTCTAAACAAGGGGCAAAAGTTTGTATTTGTTCTGTTTCCCTTTTTCTGCATTTTGTTGATAATAGTTGCTGGCCATGGTCTTAATAGCGATTTACCAAGCCCTTGCTATGTGTCGGAAACTGAACTGTTTTACAAACAGTATCTCATTTAATCCTCACAAAAATCTACCAGGAGCCATCCATAGCATGAAACACTACTCAGAAATGAAAAGGAATGACCTACTGGCGCATGCAACAACCTGGATGAAACTCCACAGAATTATGTTGGGGGCGGAGGTGGGGTTCCTAGTCAATCCCAAAAGGTTACATACTTTATGATTCTATTTATCTAACTAATCCATTCTTGAAAAGACAAAATGAGGGAAAGGAGAACAGAGTAGTAGTTGCCAGGGGTTGGAGAACAAAAGGTGGGAGGGAAGCAGGTGTGGGTATAAAAAGGCAACACAAAGAACCCTTGTCTTGTGGTGAAAATGTTCTGTACCTTCACTGATCAATTTCCATATCCTGGTTGTGATATTACTGTACTATAAGTTTTGCAAAATGTTACCTTTGAGGGAAACTGGGTAAATGGTTCTATTTCTTCCCCCTGCATGTAAATCTACAATTTATCTCCAAATAAAAAGAGATAAATTCAAATAATATAAGGAAATTGGGGCTCAGGGTGGTAAAACAATTTCAGGGCCAGAATTCAAACTCAGGTGTCAGACTGCCAAACCTGAGCGTTTGGAGACTTGACTCTGTTCAAGGGAACCAAGAAGAAGGAGGACCCCATCGGGCCTAGAAGTCCATTAGACCAGGGGACCCACGGGTGTCATGGGCTGATGTGTTACCGGGGGTCTACTGTCCTGAAAAGCCTGAGAATGTGGCTTGGAGAAACTATTTGGTAAGCCCTGTGGGTTGGTGCTGAGTGCCAACATTGAACAACCGGGTTTCCCCTTCCCAAGGTGTGTGAAAAAGGGATGAGAGTGTGTGTGTGGGGGGGGGGGTCCCCCTATGTGTTTGTCTATGTGGGTGTCTCCAGTTAGGTATCCACATGTCTGTACCTTTGTCAGTTACTCCGTGAATATGTCAGTTTCCGGGTGAGAGAGGGTAGGGTGATGTGCAAGTTCTGCCTACTACGTGTGTGCAGGTCGGTGTATACGTTACGTTTGGGTGCACCCGGGGCAGGTCTCCCCGGGTCACACCCACATAACTTGTTTCTATGAGGTTAAACCATTTGATAATACCTTCCCCAAAGCAAAGCTGACTATCGAGCCAGCCTGTCACGAACTGGGTCTGTGTACTGTAGATAAACTGGGTAATTGGACTCTCCGCCTCTTCATCCAAAACAAACACTCACAGACCGCCCACCCCCACGCTGGAAGGAGTCTGGTTCCTGTCATCTGGGTACTTGGCTCCAGTGCCCCGCCTCTCTGACCCTGTAGACAAGGTGAGCGTCTCCCCGAGGGGCCCTTCCCCTCCCCCGCGGGCGGACGCTGCCAGCGCTTATGTAAAGAGGTCACGGCCTGCGCCGCCGCCGCCGCCGCCGCCGGGCGCACGCGGCTTCCTGCACAGGTGTGGCGGCTGCGGGCGGGGATGTGCGTGGAGCAGCCTGGCGGGCCTCCTTCTCCCGGGCGGCTCCGCTTCTCCTTCGCGCTGCTCGTTCCTTCTCCTCGTCTGCATGTGTGACAGCGGTGTGCGGGCTGGGGAAGGACAGCGCGCCCTGTCCCCAGCTCCCCGCAGCGCCGGGGGGGCTCCCCGCTCCCGGGTGATGCGCTGTCTGCGCCTCGCCGCCGCGCTCCTCGGGCCTGGCTGTGTAAGTGGCGCGGGGGCGTGGGCGGGAGGGCGCGGGCAGGGGAGCGGGGGCGGGGGGAGAGAGGCGGCGGCGCCGGGAGGTGTTAACTCCTTGTTCCGCCGGGAGGCTGCCGGGCGCCGCGAGCCCCGGAAAGCCCCCGCCCGCCGTGCGCCCCGCGGGTGTCCGAGCCGCCGACCGGGAGGGGCGGGGGACACCGCGCTGCGGGGCGCGATGCCGCCGCGGGGTGGCGCCCTCGGCCGCCTTCCCTTTGAAGTTGGCCAGGACCTGGGAGCCGGGAGCCAGCCCGCCCCGCCGGCGGTGCGAGGAGGCGAGGGCGCGGGGCCCCGACCGCCCTTGATTCGCCCCATCCCTCCCGCAGGGCCAGGCGCGGACGCCGCCGGACCGCGCAGTCTGGAGGGACTGTGAAGCGCTGGCCGGCGTCGGGGCCCTTGCCCCGGGGTCGGGCGGGAGCCGGCGGACGGGAGCCAGATGGAGGCGGCGAGAGGGGGCGCGGAGTAGCGGGCGGCCCCCCGGGCTCGCACCTCCCGCGGCGCCGTGGCGCTCCGCGGGCACTGGGGCGCGGCGGGCGGGGCCCCCGGGGCTGCCATGGAGGTGCCTAACGTCAAGGACTTCCAGTGGAAGCGCCTGGCGCCGCTGCCCAGCCGCCGGGTCTACTGCTCCCTGCTGGAGACCGGGGGGCAGGTCTATGCCATCGGGGGATGTGACGACAACGGCATCCCCATGGACTGCTTTGAGGTCTACTCCCCCGAGGCCGACCAGTGGACCGCCCTGCCCCCCCTGCCCACCGCCCGGGCCGGGGTGGCCGTCACCGCCCTGGGGAAGCGGATCATGGTGATCGGGGGTGTGGGCACCAATCAGCTGCCCCTGAAGGTCGTGGAGATGTACAACATCGATGAGGGCAAGTGGAAGAAGAGGAGCGTGCTGCGTGAGGCCGCCATGGGCATTTCTGTCACGGCCAAAGGCGAGTGGGGCCAGGGCTGAGGGAGGGAAGAGAGAAGGGCGTGGGGGACCACGGGGAGAGGGATGGGAACTAACACTGAGTTGGGGGCCCACTGTCACAATCCCGATCCCATTTGATCCCTACAATAGACACGGAAGCTAGAGACCCACAGGCCTTATTTTACAGATGGGAAAACAGAGTCAGTAGGTGAAGTGTCTAGTAATTTCATGTGCTGCCAGAACTCCACTCCACCAGCCTCCTGCCAACAAGCTGGGCAGGCCTGGCCAGAGAGGAGAGTTGGGGACTTAGTGCAGGGTCTCCACAGACCTCTTCATTCAGCAGAATGAGGAGCCTCCCACCCATAGCACCTCATCCCCTGAAATCTGCCTTCGAAGGACACCGCCTCCAGACACATATTTGGGGTCCTGGGGGTGTTCACTGCATCCCTGTACCATCACTAGGCCCCTCTGGTGGGGCTTTGAGGCCTGATTGCGGGGCCCTTCCCATTACCCTCAACCTCCCCTTCTGCCTCCGAGTCTCAGAGATACTAGTGAATGGAGACTAGAATGTTCCTGAGGGTTGTGCTCCTACAGCACCTCGCCCAGGTTCACAGTTCTCAAGGGGTGTATGCAGGGACCACGAGGTTACTGGATCTTCATTTCACTTTCTCAAAACCCCTCATTCTTCCTCCTTGGGCCTGGTACAGCCCAGAGCATAGAGCGGGCTCCAAAAGTTCTTTGGCTGAAACACAAAGGGTTTTATGGGAAATGGTCCAACAGGAATTAGAAGACCCCAAGTGCAGCTCAGACAGGCAGCCTTGGTGGGATGCAACCTTCCCTCCCTCTCTTGCAAAACCATCCCATTTGCCTGTGGGGTCTACTGTAGATCAGGAGCCAGGATTTCTGGAGGGTCTGCTGTGTCCCTGGCACATTTCCAGGTCCCAGGGAGGAAGGAAAGAGGCAGAAGGTCTGGCCCCTACTTTCAGAAGTCAGAGTCTGATCAATGAAGGTGACCAGTGAGAAACTCTAAGCCTGAATCCCTCAGGGTAGTGGCCAGTGAGGCCTCCACAGGCCATCAGTAAGGATAAGAGCCTGAGGGCCCATGGGGAAAAAAAGGGAAAGGGTATTCCTTTGTTCCCAGGCTTCAGTAAATGGTGCTGAAAGACAGAACTAACGTTCATTGAATCCTTACCACGGGTGCTTTATATATTTTAGCCCCTTTGATCTTCAAAAACCTATCTGATGAGATAAGTGCTATTATTATCCTCATTTTAAAGAGAAGCAATGTGGGGCCCAAAGAGGTTAAATAATTTGCCCAAGGTCACACAGCTGGTGAGTAATGATGGAGTCTGGGCTCTTAACTGTGGCATTGAATGGGTTCAGGAGTTAGTTTAATAAGCTTTCACATGCCTGTGTGGCAGACACGGAAGCAGAGGCTGGGGTCACAGATGACCAAATTCTCTATTTGGAAGAAACCGACGAGGATTGTTTCCATAACGCATGGTGAACAGGGTGAACAGGTACCTTGGGCGGTACTGAGCCGGTGCTCTCAGCCCCGCTTTGCAGTTCAGGGACACCCAGGCGAACCCGAAGGGATGATTAAGAGCTGACACAGGAGCGGTGGTGTGGCGGGAATGAGGGCTGTCGGCTGGACGTGTGTTTCAGGTGACACAGGGATGGGAGAGGCGGAGCTTGTGTAAGGGAAGTCCTTCTAATATTAGCAGGCCAGTCTCCTGGCCGCAGGCTAAGGTTAGGATTTTTTTTTTTCCTTGTTCAGTAAGATTGGAAATAGTCTCAGTAGAAGGAAATAGTAGTCTCCCTGCAATTCCCTTACAGAATAAAGGTCTCCTAGAGCTGGAAGCAGTGAGGACCGGCTACGGGGAGATAGAATCCTGGGCAGGGGTGGGTCCCCGGGAAGAAGAGTGGCTCGTCGGCTGGGGGAGGAGGGGAAGCTGTGTCTCTGATAGGCTGCAGGAGGCACTGGGGTGAGGCCCAGGGAAACGCGGGTGCCTCGCTCATCCTCTCTGATGCCCTGTGTCAGGGGTGTGCCTTGAAAGGCTACCAGCAACCAAGAGCAATAGAAAAAGGGAGAGAACTCACTTCTCTCAGAGTGCCCAGCTTACTGCCTGGGTTCCTTAAAGGGGCCGCTTTTCTCTCCTCCAAAGCCTCACCCTCATTCACCCCTAACCCTATCCCATCTAGCTCAGGATGTCTTCTGGAGCCCACAGGCCTCCTCGTGTGTGAAGGAGGATGGCATTCCCCCATGGGGATGGCAGACAGAGAAAGAATCAGCAGCAGTCCAGGGTCCCTCAGGGCCGGCGACAGCAGGGCTGACCTCATTTCCAAAGGGTCCTGCTGGGTCTGGAGAGTTCCAAGCAGGGAGTGCCTAAGGAACAGGCCACTATTGGAGGACATCAGAGGATTACCCCTCCTCTTCGGCATCCCCTCTGGCTGCCCAGGGGGGAGGAGTGTAGAGGGGATAAAACCTGCAAAGGGTTGTCCAGGCCTCGACTCCACCGCAGTCTACCCTGTGAGAGGCTCCGCCACGGGCTGGACATCGAGGCGTTCAGGCCTGACATGGCTTCAGGCTCAACCATGGCAGAGACTCTCCATGGTTCCGTCAACCTCACCCCGGCACAGCAGCGGTTGGGAACCTGGCCTGGCCTCCGTGCTGGTGTGCGAGGGGTTGATGGGGCCTGGCCTGGTGGGTCATTACTGATGGGCCTGTCTCATAGTGTGTGTGAGCTGAGCCAGGGGTTGTGTGTGGCCTTTCTCCTTAGATTACCGAGTGTATGCGGCAGGCGGGATGGGCCTGGACCTCCGTCCGCACAACCACCTCCAACACTATGACATGCTCAAGGACATGTGGGTGTCACTAGCACCCATGCCCACCCCGAGATATGCTGCCACCTCCTTCCTCCGAGGCTCCAAGATCTATGTGCTAGGTAAGGACAGGTTATCTGTCCCACATCTATCCCTCCTTCTCTCCCTTGGGTCAGTTTCCACAGGAAGCGGTCAGTGTCTGTGTGCTGAGCATCTCCTTGGGGGCAATCACCGATGCCTTACCCCGCAGGGAGCTCCCTGTGTGGTTGGGTAAACGTGGAAAGGGGAAACCCAGCCCCCGGCCCTCAGGGACTTACTCTGGCCCAACCCCCCTGCCCTCCCCCCACCCTCCCAACCCTGGTCTGGCCTCCAGGGGGACGACAGTCCAAGTACGCAGTCAACGCCTTTGAGGTTTTTGACATCGAGACTCGCTCCTGGACCAAGTTCCCCAACATTCCCTGTAAGCGGGCCTTCTCCAGCTTTGTGACCCTGGATGACCGCTTGTACAGCCTGGGAGGCCTGAGGCAGGGTCGGCTCTACCGGCAGCCCAAGTTCCTCCGGACAATGGACGTGTTCGACATGGAACAAGGTGAGCAGGGCACCGGCCTCTAGCCGCCCACCCCGCTCTGGCTGAGTCCCCATCCCAAGCGCCCGCCCAAGCCGCTGATCCAGGGGGGTGAGCCTTTCAGGGGTCGGAACAGCCCTCTCCACTCAGGCCTCCTCTTGGGATCGCATTCTCTCCTCTGGACAGGGCTCCTCTGGGTTGGCTGGTTATTTTTATCAAAGCCTTTCCCATTTTCTCTTCTTACGACATTCAGGCAGGGCCCGGTGAGGGAGGGCTTTTCCGGCTTTTTACCGATGCAGACACAGAAGGATCCCGACTCCCACGCTCACTGCCTCTAGTTAACCTCCTCTCCAGCTCAGAGACCTTGAGAACAGAGGTTAGAACAAGGTGATTGGTTGTAGGGGATTATGGTTCCTTGGACTGTAGCAAGCCTGGGAGAGGGTGTAGAGGCCCCGGAGTGCATCATTTCAAACAGCAGGAGGCGGAGTTTATGCCCTGAGCACAAAGCCTAGATGGGGTGGACGCCCACCCAGGATGTGAGCTCTGGGGACTCCGTGTGTACTTGGCGGGGGAGGTCAGCGTCTCACTCTCTCTAAATTTATCCTGCCGTGATCCACGGCCCGCAGGGGGATGGCTGAAGATGGAACGCTCGTTCTTCCTCAGGAAGCGGCGGGCAGACTTTGTGGCCGGCGCTCTGAGTGGACGGGTCATAGTGGCCGGAGGACTTGGTAAGGATGAGGCCTCCAGGCTGTTACCTGACACCGTGCCCGAGCGGGAGAAGGCACCGGCTGCCTGCGCACTGCCTGCCTACCGCGTTCTCCCAAATCATTCAAAAACCCCTCTTCCCAGCTGGGCTTCACAAACCCACGGGGGCGGATTTTTAGTAAAAGGCAAAAGAGAGGCAGCAGTGACTAGAAACTTCTGGTAAAAGCAGAGGGTGGGGAAAGAAAGCCTTCCTCTGGAGGAGACGGAAGGACGGAGAGAAGGCAGGAGGGGCAAAGTGGCTGTCGGACAAGAGTGAGGGCTCAGGGTAGGGAAGGAGCGTTTCTGCAGCCCAGGAACTAAAGTCCCTTGGCTCCTGCTTGTGGATTCCAGAGGGAGGGAGGGGGGGTGGGGGCGCTGCGGGGCATGGATTGGGGGCTGGACTTCTTCGTAAGGTCCGGTTCCCTTGGCGCTTTCAGGGAACCAGCCCACTGTCCTGGAGACAGCAGAGGCGCTCCACCCCGGGAGGAACAAGTGGGAGGCCCTCCCCACCATGCCCACGCCCCGCTGCGCCTGCTCCAGCATTGTCGTCAAGAACTGCCTCCTGGCTGTGGGGGGCGTCAACCAGGGTCTGAGCGACGCAGTGGAAGCCCTGTGTGTCTCTGACTCCTAGCTCTCAGCACAGCGCCTGTGCCCCGGACCGGATCAGCCCACTCTCCACAAGAGGAATGGTCTCGTCAAAGCAGTGTGGGCGACTTCCCAGGATGCCAGCTCCTGTCAGCAGCTAGTGGGGTCAGGCCCCGGGGTTCTGAGGGACCTCCCTCCGCCTCCAAACCCTACCCATCCCAGGAAACCATGCGAAGTCCCAGGGACTCAGCCAGCCTCCAGCTGGAGGCCAGCTGAACTCTGAGGAGAGTCCCCCCTTCCTGCTCAGGCAGAGAAAGACACAGGAGTACTGGCTACCTCCCCTTCCTGTGAGTTCCACCTCCCCCCGTGTCCAGGGTAGGGGGTGGGCAGGGCCGAAGACAGCTGCTATCACTGTCCTCTCCCCAGCTCTGAACTAGTTTGAGGGTCCCTCGGGATGGAAAACGGAGAAGGTTCGCAAGGAGTCCCAAACCCCTCGCTTCTCCCTTGGTCTACATCCCTTCCCCATTTGGTGGTCAGCCGTGGGCCTGCCCTAGCCCTCGTCCCCTCAGCAAGAATCGGCCTTGGAGTCAGGTTCATGGGGACTGGTCCAGGTCAGTAGCCTCGGCCAGGAAGGACCCGTGCCTCTCGGGTCCTCGACGGGAAAGTGACGATGGAGAAGCAGCAGACGCCCAGCCCAGGCTCTGCTTCCCGCTCCTCCCCTCGCTCACTTTCTCCTTCCGCCACCCTCCCCTCGCCCTTTTGTCACCCGCGGCCCCAGCGCATTTCTGGGCAAAACCTTCTCATGTACACTGTGGCATCCAAATCCACGAAGGATGGATTAACTGCACTCTGGTTAACAGCAGCAGCACAACAATTAAAATCTATATTCCTATTCTCTCGGGTACCTGGTGCAGGGGTGGGGTGGGTGGGTGTCTTGATGGGTAGAGGGGACCCCATGAAATAGTCCCTCTGACTGTCTCAGACTAAATAGGGCCCCAGGCGACCAGCTGTTGTGGGTTCCGCCTCCAAAGCACCTCCTGCCCGGTCACCTCACTCCCAGTACAGGGCAGCCCTCCTCAGTGCCTAGTCTCCTCTGTGTTAGGAAAGGCTGACCTCTTCGTGCCTGGCCTCAATTCACTCAGCCGAAGTTCACTTCTGTCTTGCCTGAAGTTGGACAGGGATCGCTCACTGACTTGCCGTGAAGGACGTGCCCCCTCCTGGCTCGTAGAGCGCCTCTTTCTGATTTCCGGTTCTTTTGAAAAGCTGTGCCAGCACGGGGACTACAAAGGAAAACCTGCCCCC